GCTGTCCTGTACCACTGTTCACAATGGCCCTGATCAACCTGGACGGATCGATACAGTTTCCACCAGCAACCTCCGTTTTGTTCCCTGGATGTGTTGTTGATATCACTTATGCACACACACATACGCACACAGACACAATCACACTAATCCAAGGACATTAGCCATCGAGAGAGTCCATTTCTGGCAGGTAATGAGCAGATTTGGCTATCACAGGATGTCATAAAGGTTGCGCTGAAGAGCGAGATAATGTGTGTTTTTTAAGGCCGGGCTCTCTGGGATCTGTCAGCCTCTCTCCAAGCCAAAGTGCTTGAGCAACTTTCCCATAAACACCTCTCTTGTTTTAGCCGGCGATAAAACACACAAACACACACATGCTAAAGTTTAAAAGAGCCCAAGTTTGGTTTTACGGCCCATTGTTTGCACAGAACATCCTCTTGTTTGACAAGCTCATTGGTGACTCACGTCTCTTGATGTTGGATGCAGAAAACGCTGTTTTGATAACGGACTGAGACAGGAGGAGAGCAAGAGAGAAAAAATGTAATGAAAGGAAGAAGCTGAAAGACTCCCACGCAAGGAGCAATGTTGCCTCAGTCCACTTAACCTCGCTCTCTGTGCCTTCTATATTTAATCGCCCTTTTTCACTTCCCGGCAGTCCGTGTGTGACCCTAGTGGAAGACCTGAGTAACACAGAGAGCAGAGGAAGTTTTTCTCATTCTCTCCACAGCTGGAAAGACAGATTTCTGTCTCCAGACATTTCTCAAAATCTGTTAAGAATATGCACAGATCACATTTCACCCCACAATTAATGGATTTTTTTTTTTCACATTGCATTTTCATGACAATTTAAGCATATTTTTTGACTATACAAATATGACTATAAAGCTCTAATATAGGTAGGTAGGTAGGTGTGTGTGTGTGTGTGTGTGTGTGTGTGTGTGTGTGTGTGTGTGTAAACAAACTGATTACTCTATTATAGTCATATTTTTAAGCTTAAACATTATTGGGTAATATAAAATATAATTTTATTATAATTTTAAATACATTTATTACTTGTAGTATTTTTTATATTTATAAATTTTATCATATATTCAATTATATATTTACACACACACACATATATTCACATTATCTTGACAATTTAGCATAATTAAGCATATGTGACAGTAATACTTTAAATACTGTATGTGTATTTATATACATTGTTATAATAAAATAGTTCTATATTTTTATTAAATGCGCATATATATATATATTATATATATCATATACATTATATATAGACACACACATACACATTATCATGACAATTAAGTAATACTGTAAATACAGTAAATGCGTATTTATATATAATTTTATTATAATTGCACAAAATAATTAAATATTTTTAATAAATGCATTTTTATTATGTGTGTGTATATAGAATGTTATAATAATATATAATGTGTGTGTGTAATATATATTGTATATATATCTATCTCTACTGTATATATATATATATATATATATATATAGTAGAGATAGATAGATAGACAATATATGACAGTGATGCTGTAAATATGTGTATAGTGTTATAATTCTATATAATAATTTAATATAATTTTTTGTTAGATGTTTTTATATATCTTTTATATATCTTTTTATAATTATAATAAAAAACTATAATTTTTATTTCTATATAATATATAATTGTAATTTAAATTGTAAATTGCTTTTTTTTTTTTTCTTCTTTTTTTTAATTCGATAAAGAAAATCTTTTAATTTTGGGGTAAAATGTGACCTGGACATGCTTTTGCAAGGTTCACCTACACAAACAACAAATTAATCTGAGAAAGCATTTCTATTTTCCCACAAGGGTCACTTGCAGGCCCCCTGCCGTGGGTCGTGAGGTTGTGACCTGCCGCTGCAGGAGGCCGGAGGAGAGATGCTGAGGTCACGGCACTCTCCTCCTCATTCACATGCAGCTCTCATTAATACTTCACCACGCTCATAACTCCTGACCTGTGCCGACTGTTCAAGCCAATGAAACGATGAGCCAGCCCGTTTCCGACAGTTAAAGCTAAACCCAGCAGCCATTCTTTTTCCAAATATGAACAAAGGCGGACAGTTTTTGTGTTTACATAGTTTTACGACTCTAACGTTTCTCGGAAGCTCTCGATCCAAGCCTCTCTTACGCACTTTTTTTTGACAGCGGCTAAATCTGAGATATGTAGCATGAAGCTGTGCATACATCCTCCTCATGTGCTCTCTGTAGTAACTCACGGCAAAATGATGGATGTCAGAGGAGTCCTGGAAAGGTTTTTTTGGGGGGGGGGGGGGGGTTTGTCACTCTCCGACTCCCCTTGTGTTTGAGTTTGTCATTCCAGCTGTGCTCTTACTTTACCCTGAGTGCAGCAGCTAATTATCGCACCTCACTGCAGGCTTATTTAATCAGAGGGAGCGTGAGCGACGCCGCTGTGATATGAACTTACATTAGTGACGAAGAGAACTGAATGCCACACGCCAATCTCTGTGTGATGCTTACTTTCATTTTAAAGGAATAGTTCATGCAAAAAGGAAAATTGGCTGAAAATGTATTCACCCTCAGGCTATCCAAGATATTGATGTGTTTGTTTCTTCATCAGATTTGGAGTAATGTAGCATTCCTTCACTTGCTCACCAATGGATGCTCTGCAGTGAATGGGTGCCGTCAGAATGAGAGTCCAAACAGCTGATAAAAACATCACAATAATCCACAAGTAATCCACACCACTCCAGTCCATCAGTTAATGTCTTGTGAAGCCAAAAGCTGTGTGTTTATAAGAAACAAATCCATCAAGGCGTTTTTAACTTCTAACCATTGCTTCCCGCTAAAATACGAGTCAATAATCCATAATAACGCTTCATCCAGTGAAAAGGCTGTCTCGTCTGAATCAGGAGAGAAATCTGCACATATCAAGCACCGTTAACAAGCCAAAACCGCTCTAAACAAATATGTGAGTGGATTTTGATGTGAGACACAACAGGAGATTAACGTTTTCACTGGAGGAAGCGTTATTATGGATTATGGACTTGTATTTTAGCTGGAAGAAACACACAGCTTTTGGCTTCACAAGACATTAACTGATGGACTGGAGTGGTGTGGATTACTTGTGGATTATTGTGATGTTTTTATCAGCTGTTTGGACTCTCGTTCTGACGGCACCCATTCACTGCAGAGGATCCATTGGTGAGCAGGTGAAGCTAAATTTCTCTAAATCTGATGAAGAAACAAACTCATCTAGATCTTGGATAGACTGAGGATGAGTACATTTTCAGCCAATTTTCATTTTTGGTTGAACTATTCCTTTAAATGCAAACAAATCACACACTAATAGTCCGATTATTGCCAGTCATTTCTTCTAATTATTTATAATATAAAATATGCGTTCAAATTCAATAGGCATGTTTTCTTCTGCTGTTTTTATTGACCTGCCTCAAATTCAAAATCTGCTTCAAATGCAAAAAAATGGCAAAATAATTCCTGAGCTCACTAGAAATATTGTTTTCTATTCGTGAAGTGTTTTAAAACCCATGCATTTGCATAAGGCATCATCTGTCTATAACACAAACATGTGCATTTTCATCAGTGTGGACATCAAAATGTGATTATGGTTGCTGCATAACCATAATAACATAATCACAAAATTCTGTTAACGCAAGCTTCAAATTAATCTCAGTACTGCTTTAATCGCATTATGAACATAGTCATTATGTGTTTGAGCATATTTGTGTTCCACTGCAATGTTTTTCTGATGCTGTTATGTGTTTAATAGAATGATAAACATAAAAACTAGATGTTTCAGGCCTTTAGATGTGGTTAATGTACCGGTAATATGCCAAACACACCAATTTAGTCTTGATAGACTGCAATCAGAACAGAATCTTAATAATTTCTTGTAGAGAATCTCATAATCTGTGTAATTTTGCTATAGCTACAAGCCCAAAATTATCACGAGTTTAATCATTCAAATCATTCAGATTGTAAATGAAAGAGTACTTATTTGTATTTTTTTTCTCTGACGTGACACCAGCAATTTGCCTATTTTATCATGTTCTGAGGTTTGTCCCATCTAGCCTCCGTGATCTGTTTTAAAGCATCTAATATTTCTTTTATGTAATAAAAGTGAGGGATTTTGCATTATTCACCAAGGTTCTATGACCGAGAAAATCCCATACAGTAAGATCACTTAATACATGAGTGTGTTTTATACACAAACAAGAGAGCGAGTATAAACCCGACCCGCTGACGCAAACTCGTTACCATAGCAACCACTCACCTGTCAGTCTCACGTGCGCAGTGCTGTCACTGAGCATATATATAATTTTATTTAATTGATTTAAAATTTTAAATAGAAGATTTGGCTGGAAGATTTAAAAACTGTGTGTAAATGTGGATGATCATATGTTAATGTATTTGTATCATGATTATTTCTGAATGAGCCATTTTTGCAGCTTAGTTTCAAGCAATTGTTTGAGTATATGTACATAACATATCAAACAAGAGGCATAGGAACAAACCGTAGCGACTTTGCTCATGAATATTAATTACGTGACATTCGCCCGGTAGTCCTGGCTGATTGGCTTAAATGCAGAGGCTTGGGTTTTGTTTGTGTGTGTGTGTGTGTGTGTGTGTGTGTGTGTGTGTGTGTGTGTGTGTGTGTGTGTCTAGCTACTTTGGCAAAGACAAATGAACCTCAAAGTCTTAAAAATAAAATTTTTACAGTTTCGTTTGATGACTTTAGTGGTCCAGAAATGATACACTTTGTTGTTGAGAGCTTTTTGGAATGAATCTTTGAAATGAAGCACGTTCTGTTGGCATCTGAACAAACGCCCTAGCAGATGCTGCCTGTCGTGAAGATCTGAGTTTTTAAGATCTCTCTCTCTCTCTCTCTCTCTCTCTCTCTCTCTCTCTCTCTCTCTCTCTCTCTCTCTCTCTCTCTCTTTTTTGAACAATGAACATCCACACGGCCCAATACGAGCAGCCATCCGGCCTAATGCAAGTCAGTTTCTCCTTCCTCCATTAGTTATTCTCTGTATGTGTCAGTCCTTCATCTGCTTTTGATATCTTTCTCTCTCTCTTTTCCATCATGCGTGTGTGTGAATACTGTATCCAGTGGCCGTTTTTGAGGGCTAGTGAGGAAAGACAGAGTGTGAGAGGTGTTATAACTCTGTCCTCTTTCTGGTTTCTCCTGTACTTCTTGTGACCTCCTTCTCTCTTGCCCTCGAAATCTCTCCCTCTCTCGTTCTCTGTGTGTCTCTCGTTCCCCCGTGTGTAGCAGTGCGGCGTCACTCTCTGCGTCAGTGTGCCATTACGTCAGCCCTGCATCGCGTCACCGCTGAGGTGCAGATGAGCTAACGTTGCTTTTTCTCTCTCCCCCTTTGTCTCTTTCTCTCGCGCTACCTGTGCGTTTAACTCTATCTCTCCCTTACGCCAACTTCCTATCTTGTGTGTGTGTGTGTGTGTGTGTGTGTGTGTGTGAGAGAGAGAGATAGAGAGAGAGGGAGAGAGAGACTTATCCTTTGAGAGCCAGTGAAGCCAGGGAAAATTGTTTGTTGACTGCACAACAACAGTCGAAACTCAGCTGTCAACCTCTACCAGACAGCTTGGAATTCCTTTGGGAAACAGATTAATTGTTTATTTTCGTGGCAATTGCATTTAAAGAGGGAGAGAAAGAAGCAAAGTAGTTTTGCTCAAATGTAGCTCGTCACCATATATACCTCATAATGCCTGCTGGATCTCAACATATCCCATGCATGGCTTAACATATGCTAATACAGGGGAAGGGGGAACATGTTTCTTTAGATGAACACATTCTTTCAATCTGTCCATCAGTGAGGAGGAGTTTTGTTAACCCCTATTTAAAAACGACATAATATATGGGAATGAACTCTGGGAAAAAAATCACTGCTTTAAGAAAAAGAAATGAATCGCTGGTCTAAACAGATTGTCATCAAAGACGCTCCAGACAAGACTTGAATTTTAAAAAAGATTCCAGTTTTACAATATTTTCCCTCTTTCTCTCAAACCATTGGTAATGTTATGTGACCCTAATTTTAGTATTTATTATATTAGCAATATGGAATTATAATTAAATCATGTGTGTGAGAGAAGTCTAAAACAGAATCAGTGTAAAGAATCAAGAATAAGTGTGATTAATATAAAAGATCTGTGGCAACATATTTTTATTGATTGATTGACTGATTGATTTTGTTTTACCACATGGTAATATGACTATTAAAAGAAAAAAAAACAACCTGGTCATCAAAGCACCAATTTAAAGCAGTTTGGATGTCAGAAAATAATTGTTCAAAAGCTTTGTCCCCTGTATCTTTAGACTTTGAAAGCGCACGTTTCTCCTTGAATATTTTTGTGTCGTCCTAACTTTTAAAGGTGTTAAAAAAGCCCTCAGAGGAGGTGATCGATAAGGCGTTTGGTCGTTTACTGTGCATTAGCAGCCACTTTAGCCTGCAGTGGATTTATGAGGGAGCCCCTATAAATGAGGAGTGAAATCAGCATAGTGGACTGGGTATAAATATCTGTATAATGGCAACATTTTCCTATTGTTGCTGTTGTATAACGGAGCCATTATCGATTGTGTGTGTTTTAGTAAGGGTTGGTATCAGTGCTCTCAGGAATCATAAATCTGTGCAATCAGAGACATATGACGTACAGTTTGAGAACAATTACCATACTTACAATATACGCATACATTAAGAGTGTGTATGTACACGAGTGTGTGTTGCATGTGAAGAGTAAAGCGTCTGAACTGACCACACCATCACTGCACCGGCAGGATTTGCTCGCTGGCAGATAGACAAGTTGAGCTTTCTGTCATTCTAAGAATTTGTGTTAGCTGTAAGGGTTATCCTTCCACTCTTCACTGCATTTCTGCTGAACACTGTCTCTTATTTATTGAAGGCAGTAAGAGCAGCATGTGAAATCTTTTCTCTCACACAGACTTTGGTTATATTACACAGAGCATCACTCATGAAGATGGCTCAGGTCGGGGGGGTTGCGTTGTGCCGGATGATGAAAAGGACATTTTAAACCTATCACAATGAAAAGGAGCATAACACATTGTGAGCATAAACTTAACAAAAGAAAGACTTTAACAGAACTGTAGATTAAGGATGAAAATCCTTTTTAAGCCAATTGTGTGTGAAGGACAGAAGGACATGCGGAAACCAATCCTCTCTCTCTCTCTCTCTCTCTCTCTCTCTCTCTCTCTCTCTCTCTCTCTCTTTTTTGAACAATGAACATCCACACGGCCCAATACGAGCAGCCATCCGGCCTAATGCAAGTCAGTTTCTCCTTCCTCCATTAGTTATTCTCTGTATGTGTCAGTCCTTCATCTGCTTTTGATATCTTTCTCTCTCTCTTTTCCATCATGCGTGTGTGTGAATACTGTATCCAGTGGCCGTTTTTGAGGGCTAGTGAGGAAAGACAGAGTGTGAGAGGTGTTATAACTCTGTCCTCTTTCTGGTTTCTCCTGTACTTCTTGTGACCTCCTTCTCTCTTGCCCTCGAAATCTCTCCCTCTCTCGTTCTCTGTGTGTCTCTCGTTCCCCCGTGTGTAGCAGTGCGGCGTCACTCTCTGCGTCAGTGTGCCATTACGTCAGCCCTGCATCGCGTCACCGCTGAGGTGCAGATGAGCTAACGTTGCTTTTTCTCTCTCCCCCTTTGTCTCTTTCTCTCGCGCTACCTGTGCGTTTAACTCTATCTCTCCCTTACGCCAACTTCCTATCTCTCGTCCAGTCTTCGGGCACCAGTGTGACGGTGGACATCGCGGTGATGGGCGAGGCCCACGGACTGATCTCAGATCTGCTGGCTGACCCCTCCCTCCCACCGAACACCTGCAGCACCCTGCGGGCCGTCAGTAACCTGCTCAGCACCCAGTTCACCTTCCAGCCGCTGCACCACCGGCCGCGCCTGAGCCCCCTGCTGGCCTTCAGCGATGGACACGCCTGCTCCGACTCAGAGGAGGTGCCGGAGAAAGGAGAGAGGCTGGCCATCTCAAAGGTAAAGCCACACCCTATCAGGTAGCAGGATTTGATTGGTAAATGGCCCTTTGCTAAGCCCCACCTTAAAAATATGACTGACCTTTGCAGCTGTTGTGGTGCCGCCCACTTTTTTCCATTTCCATACATTTTGTTCAGTATTTTTTTAATAGTGAGAAATATGTATTGTGACATACATTCAATTTTAACAAATTATCGTGAAAGAAAATGAAATGGGTGTGACTTTATTCTATTCTTCAGTCATTGATTGGATGTTGCTAAGCCCCGCCTTAAAATATGATTGACCAATCTAATCTTTGCAGCTGTCGCTGCCCATTTGTATTCTTCAAGTAGCGAAAGATTCATTTTTTTCCGTATTGTGACGTACATTTGAGTTGAATGAATTAATGACATAGAAATCTGTGGGCGGGACTTGGTTCCGGTTAGTTGTTGATTGGATATTGAGATGTGAGAGGAGGTGCCAGAGAAAGGAGAGAGACTGGACATCCCGTAGGTAAGGCCAAACCCTTTCAGGTTCTGGAATTTGATTGGTTATTGGCCCTTTGCTAAGCCCCACCTTAAAAAAATTATTTACCAATCTGACCTTTGCAGCTGTTGTGGCTCCACCCACTTTTTTCAATTAAACTTTTTTCATTGAGATTTTTAAAGTAGTCACAGATTCTTTCTTCCATATTGTGATCTACATCTGAGTTTATTGAAATTAAATTATTAAATTAAAATTGGATTATTGAAAAAGAAAAGGTGGGCGGAACTTAGTTCTGTGCAGCGGTTGTTGATTGGATGTTGAGATGTGAGAGAAGCGCCAGAGAAAGGACAGAGCCTGGCCATCTCAAAGTTAACGCCACACCCTCTCAGGAGCAGGACTTTGCTAAAATATGACTGACCTTTGCAGCTGTTGCCATTTCCATTCCATTTCCAGATTTTTTTTAAAGCCGCAAATGGTGGCGGGAATTGGTTCTATGCATTGGTTGTTGATTGGATGTTGAGATGTGGGCGTGGCACTCACTTGAGCTTGCGTGGGTGGAGTTTAAGAGGACTTAATTATTGGAGAATCCAAATGGCTGCAATATAACAAAGAGTGAAAAATGTAAGGGGGTCTGAATACTTTCCGTACCCACTGTATCATTAGAGAGGAGTCTGTTGTTTTCACCAGAAGATGTAGATATAATTTTTTTATTAAAGGGGTCATATGATGTGATTTCATGTTTTCTTTTGTCTTTGGAGTGTTAAAAGCTGTTCATGCATACAGAAGATCCGTAAAGTCGCAAAGATTAAAGTCTCAAACCCAAAGAGATATTCTTTATAAAAGTGAACACTCAGCCACGCCTTCCTAAAACGCCTCATTCAAACACACCCCCACATATCTACGTCACATTTCCGTCACACGCTTGAGGAATTCAGGCAATCACAACACACTGGATTGCTGGCCAATCAGAGCACACCTCGCTTTTCAGAACGATGAGCTTTGTAAAAATATACACGTTTCAGAAAGGCGGGGCATAGAGGAGAAACAATAATGTACAGTATGTGGAAAATGTGTTTTTTGAACCTTAAACCGCATAAACACACTGCATTACACCAAATACACAAAATAATGTTCTTTTTAGCAACGTCACATGACCCCTTTGACTTTTGACTTTTTTGACTTTGACTTTTTTCATTTACATTTACATTCACATTTAGACATTTAGCAGACGCTTTTATCCAAAGCGACTTACAAATGAGGACAATGGAAGCAAACAAAATCAACGAGAGCAATGATATGCAAGTGCTATAACGAGTCTCAGTTAGCTTAACGCAGTACATGTAGCAAGTTTTTTTTTTTTATTATATAATATACAGATAGAATAGAAAAAGAATAGAGCAAGCTGGTATTAGAGACCATTTTTGCTTTTGTTAATTGTATAATAAATAAAAAGAAAACAAATTGAATACAAAAAGATTAGAGAAGCTAGTTTTTTTTGTTTGTTTGTTTTTATTTATAGAAAACAAGCATTTAGTAAATGAAAAGAGTGCAAGTCTAAAAGGGGCAAGTTTTTTTTTTAAAGAATAGAATTAGAATATAGAGTTAGAGGGTCAAATAAAGATGGAAGAAATGTGTTTTTAGCTGATTCTTGAAGTCTGTGAAAGTGATTTTGTGCCTCTTTGGGATGGCACAATAAAGCGACGTTCACTTGCAGAATGCAAGCTTCTAGAGGGTACATACTGTAAGTATGAAGTAATGAATTTAGGTAAAGGGATGCAGAGCCTGTGGTGGTTTTGTAGGCAAATATTAATGCCTTGAATTTTATGTGAGCAGCTATTGGTAGCCAATGCAAATTTATAAATAGAGGTGTGACATGCATTCTTTTCGGCTCATTAAAAATGAATCTTGCTGCCGCGTTCTGAATTAATTGTAAAGGTTTGATAGAACTGGCTGGAAGACCTGCCAAGAGAGCATTGCAATAGTCCAGCCTGGACAGAACAAGAGCTTGAACAAGGAGTTGTGAAGCATGTTCCGAAAGAAAGGGCCTGATCTTCTTGATGTTGAATAAAGCAAATCTGCAGAACTGGGCAGTTTTAGCAATGTGGTCTGAGAAAGTCAGAGTTATGGTTGATATGCCTAACTGGATGGTGAAATTGTGATGAAACGATGGGTTTGATGGAACCACAATCAATTCTGTCTTGGCAAGGTTGAGTTGAAGGTGATGGTCCTTCATCCAGCAAGAAATGTCTGTTAGACAAGCTGAGATGCGAGCTGCTATTGTCGTATCATCAGGATTGAAGTGAGAGGTAGAGTTGAGTGTCATCAGCATAGCAGTGATATGAAAAGCCATGTTTCTGAATGACAGAACCTAGTGATGCCATGTAGACAGAGAAGAGAAGTGGTCCAAGAACTTAGCCTTGATGCACCCCAGTAGTTAGATGTTGCGACTTGGACACCTCACCTCTCCAAGATATCTTGAAAGACCTGTCTGAGAGGTAAGACTCAAACCACTGGAGTGCAGTTCCTGAGATGCCATTTGCCAATAGGGTTAACAGGAGGATCTTGTGGTTAACCATGTCAAAAGTAGCGGACAGATCCAGCAAAATACATATTGAAGATTTGGAATCTGCTCTTGCCAGTCTTTTAATTTTCAATCAAATTAAACATTTACGCAAAAGTGTTCATAAGATCTATAAAACTTGCATTTTTAAAATAGATAGGGTGAACTTTCATTTCATGCTGACTCAATTAAATGTTTTAGCCGTGAACCTATTCTAGAAACTCTGAGATGAATATTAGATTTGAAGCAAAACATTTATTTGAAAAAAGACACAGGGTGCAAAACCGTGTAGTTTTTTCTTTTAAATGAGGGAATGAACTATACATCCCATGAATCATTGCAAATTATGTAACTGAATCATAAATAATTGTACAACATGAGTCTATTGACTTGAATTAACAATACATTTGGAGTTTATTGCAAAAATAATCAGACTGGAGGCTGATTTTGATTACATCATTTGCAAATCTTTCTCTATGGATAAAGTTAATGAAATCATGTATTTATTTTTGCACTGAAAATTTGTTATAGGAACGGTTTTCACTCAGAAATAGAAAATTTCATAATTAATTACAAATAAGTAGCAAGTAACACTTTGAATAAATCATGAAATTCTGAAGCAGAAAGAATGAAATAGTATTTTCTTGCAAAACATACTCCAATAATCTTTGTTTTATTTACATCTTTGAAAATTAATTTTTGCAGTGTATCATCAGACAATACTTTAATAATGGAGTTGCATGAAAGTCTGTGTGTTTGGACAGTTTTAAATAGAATTTCATTGAGAAATTATCCAAAAGCACAGTAAAACATTCAGTACAGTAAAAAATGTAAGAATAATATCCAGTCACTGAATATCATGCTGTTCATACCTATGGGACGTTCTGTAAAGCTTGTCCTGCGGGGAACGGAGCTTAGCGACATTTGTGAACATGGATGGTTTTTCATCGGCTTTGGTGTTTTTACATTATTTTTTAGCATTGCTGCAGCAATTCATGAATGGCTCACGTAATCGTGGTGGAACCAGTGAAGATTTTGAGACAAAAGAAAAAGACTCCATTGTGTTTAATGGTTTACTGCCACGGCCAATACTCTGTGTTTTTCATCACACACACACACACGTTCATTCCTCATTCACGCCAGCATGGCAGGTCTCTAATGTAGCGGACAATGACGCACATTCTCACAGAAGCCTTTTAATGTTTCACCAGCACTGCAGTTAAAAATGCATGCCGGCACTTAAAGAGTAGGTGAGGCAAAAGTCACTATCCGACTCTCCAGTGCTTTTCCCATGCTGCAGTGCTCAGGAAACAACATTAAGAGATGTTTATTAAAGCCCATTCATTACACCTGGTCCATATGTAGGTCACAAATGTAGGATATCGAACAGAATTCAGAGCGCTGGCCTTATTATTTTTCCACAGCGTATATAATGTGATATTTTGGCAGTGTGAAGAAAAACACGAGTGAGTCTGGTTCTTTAAGCAGCGTTTTATCTGTCAGCGCTGCAGCTGTGTCAATATCAGAATAAAAACGGCATGAAACGCAACTGATGGTGACATGATTTTCCTAGAAGGTCAAATAGTTGTGGCCTGTTTGGGTGTCCAGTTTGGCAGTGGCGCATTTAGCTTCGGCCTTGGCAGGAAAAGGGGCTTTTTCACATGAATCCCAAATCACTTTTCCTGTATATTTTAACTCGACAAAGAAAAACACTTTTCCTAAGGTGTTACATTTCTGCAGCGCTGCTGATCGGACGTCCATTTCTAGAGCCGGTAAACATGCAACACAGTTACCGTAGGTCAGAAACCTTTAACGCATTATACATGCATGAGCTCCCCACCATAGAAAGTACTATTAAGATTTAAAGGCCGATTCCTCTGGTATTTTCCTACTTTAGGATTTTGAGCGAACGCATGCCTTTGTAGCAGATGTTTAAAATGCTAATCTATTCAAGAACTAATAGGAAAGGAAAGTTGTTGAACTGACCGTTTCACTGCACTCTCAGGGCCTGGACTATTCCCTGCAGATTTTGTTAGTTTTTACTAAGGCATTATAGCTAAAAATAATTGTGTATGTTGATGTTTTTCAGCCTTTTTAATATTT